AAAGGACTTGTATCGTTGAAGATCTTCGGAAAGAATTTCTACCGGAAACAAACAAGCAAGCAGATAAGTAACAATAATTTCAACGATTCGCCAAAGGGTGCTCAGTTGTTTTGGTTGTTATTCTTTTGGCGCACAACTACGCATTGGACTGTTTGCATTCTGTCTATCCAGAAGAATTGACCGTCTAATAATGTAATTAAATCCGCAAGCTTACCGCTGACCCAGTGGGACGCGAGCCTAAGAGATCCAAACGACCAAATATACGAGACCAACTTTACTCGTTTTTAAAATCTTATAAAATTATATTGAATATTTCATAATATACAAAAAAGCAACTTAGGTTTTCTTGTAATACTTCCACGACACTGACATTGTTAAGATAATTAGTTAAAGCAGGCCTTTAATTTCTATTGAAAAATTCATTGTATAGCTACAAAATTTCCTAATGTACCATTTTAAAAAAAGCAAAACAAACTCATATTATTGAAAACAATATCTTTCTGCGGCATTTTCCTCCATGTTCGTTGGCTGTTTCCAAACCACTGCATTGGTTGCGTTATTAAGGTAAAATTTCTAATGAAATTAAAACACACGAAACCGTTAATTTGTTTAACTCGGCTATTGTGCTTCAATGATGCAAATTTCAGCTCGTATAAATTATTTTGTTAGTTAGTTCCATAAAGTTAAAGGGGTGTTATACATAAATTGTACTGAGACTTTTTCTTTTTGTTATAATATTTGCCTATTACTTTAGAAAAGCTTGTCACTGTTATCTCTACTCTAGTGTTATCCAGTTTTAACGTATTATCGATATATCCCATCAAACTGAAAAATCAAATGGCAACTTGTTTCTCCTTAAACAGTGAAAGGTATGTTCTGGCGAAATTAGGGTTTGATATTCAGTATTGCACAGTAACGTAAGTTGAATCAGTGTCTGTAAAGTGTAATGTAGGCTGTTCTGCAACTTGCAAGTGTTGAAGGTGCATGTAATAAATTTACGATTAAAAAGTGTTTTATCAACCATGAAATCTAATGTTATAGGATAACAATATAGAATAGTTGCTTTAGTGCAAATGTGTTCTTATTTCGCTATATTATCAAGAGCACTAATTATACTGTTGTATTACTATTATTAGTAATCCTGGAGTTCTGCTTTAAAGTTCTAGGCTAGACAGATGACAGATAGTTGCAACTTTTAGGTCATCATAAATGTTGTAATTTTAATAAATTACCTGCTTCCTCTAAAAGGAAGAAAACTAATATTATACATTTTGTCCCTTTTAAAAATTAATAATTGTAAAATCATTTTAATAACTCTCAATGGGTTTGTTTTTATGTTTAACTTTTAAGCAGAACTTGCCATCACTCCTTGGGCTAACCTGGTTATTGTTCCAATAGTGTTATATTGTTAGTGTTGCTCATGTTTGGCATAGTAAAGTTAATTGTTACCTGATAATAAGCAGTAGAAAACTTGTTGACATATTTAATAATTTTATTACACATTATGAGTCTGAAATATTATTAGTTAAGAAGTAACCCCCCCCCCCCTCCCAGTATTGCCTTGTGTGTTTCATTAATTTTAATTTTCCACCTGAAAACAAATCCGATAACCCAAGCACTTTTTGGAAAGTAAACTTTCTACATCAATGGTCCATTTTCTGACTTCCAATGAAGGAAAGTCCACTTTCTGAAAGAGTTTGGATTATTGTTTTTTGTCTAATGCAAACTTTTTTTTTCTCTTGATCATGCATTCATCAGAATTTCATAACATTTTAGGACAACAAAGGGCTTTTTGGATACTGAGCTTATCCAATCCACTAAACTTTGAAAACAACAACAGGAAATTTAAAAGATATGGGCACATGCTTATCTTAGCCATTGATATATTTATTTAATGTGAAGCATTCTAAATAAAATTTTAAAAGTAATTTAAGTCTTTAATGATAATAGGCTAATACCAAGTAACAAAGTAAATGTATGTCTATTTATTGGTAAGTTGACTAAGAATAAGAAAGTATGACAGTACAAAATTATACTTAATGTTAGTGTCTTTTGACATTTGCTTTGGTCATATGTGTGGATGTCTGATAAAAATGTAAAAGCGACACTGAACATGACTTTTATTTTATAATTTTACTCTAAATTTGAATTTTTAGTCTTGATTGTTTCTTTTTGGTAGTTTTTTAGAACAAAGTCTAGCACTTGTATAAAACTGGTATTGCTAAGTATTTTGATTTAATTCAGTTAACAATTAGTGGATGTAATTAGTAGTAGTGGATGTATCAATTAATTTGAGCTATAAAGAGTTTGTATTTGTAAGTTTTGATATATTCACAATATTAAAATGTTTAATTTTATTTTCCACTTGGAATAAAAATAGCCAAGACAACACCTCCATGTTGGAATTTTGATAATATAAAGATTCTGACTGTACATTTGTGGAACAGAAAGTGGTCAAGAAACCAAATATGGTAAGAACTTCTTTGATATTTATGGAGTGCTTTCTGTTAGAGACTTCAGTTTCTCTATTTTACTTCATATTTTTCTTTAGACCTTTAAATATATATATATATATATATATATATATATATACGTAAAGTAAATATATAATTATA